AGAATTGAGATCTTTTTTCTCTTTGCCTTCTATTAAACTGGTACGCAGAACAAGTAAATAAAAAGCAAGCGTTGCTCCTGAATAAAATAAGTATTGTACGTTCCCGCGTTCATAGTTTGCGATTGTGGAGTTGGAGTATTCGCGCTTCCTTCAGAAAGAAGGCAGCGTTCAGACTTCGCGACGGCAGCGCTTCGGTCGCGCGATCGACGCTGTTGAAAGCATGCGCGGTCGAACGCGCGACCGAAGCGCTGCCGTCGCGAAGTCTGAACGCTACCGAAGGGGAAACTACTTATCATCTAGGGAATCCACGTTTCCGGAGAATGCGCGAATCGAGAGAAAATACGAATGATAGATGGGAATAGATCGACTACGCCCAGTAACCGACTCGCGCGTTATTCCGATTCGCGTATCCTGCAGAAATGCAGATTCGCCTGATAGATACATTCCATATCCCAGACATGGAGAGGGCGTGGCTGCGTACTTCACATACAGGTTGCCGCAGCTGCGCCTGGTGAAACACCGCCCCTTCGTGACGATCGTAACCATGACTTCACCCAGCACAAGGCAGGATAGCCGTTGTCTCAAGTTGAAGTACCCCATGAAAAGGCAGCCTACTCGAACCAAGACGGGCCACGTCCTCTGCATCTCCAGGTTATGAAGTCTTTGGCGCGCTCTCTCCCGAATAAGACTTAGCTTTTCTTTAAAATCCTGGCTCGATGTACCAGTACCAGCACAGTTCATCCAAAATAAACTTGAGCTAAAGCGAATTTTAAACGAAGTTAGAATTCAGAGGAATTGCAAGACTTTGAACAGCAGAAGGATTATCAATTTCAATTTCAAACCATTCTTTTCTTCAGTTTATCAGAATTTCAGCGAAACGATTGACTTATTCAGGGCCCCACACATCTACTACGCCCTAATCGATGCTGGATTCGAAAATCAATTAGCATTCCTCTGCGAAGAGCGCCGTATACAGGAATGTGATCCGAATCTTGCTAAAATCAAAATGTTCCTCAAGAAACGATATCGTCTCTTATCCGCTGAACATAAAGAACTTCTCGATTACGCCAGACGTGTTTCGTACTGTAGTCGAACAGGAAGACTGTGAGTTTAGCCCTCGGTTTTAAAGCAATAAAGACAGAAGAGCACTATTCTGTTAAGGTCCGCATTCCGTGCTCATCGCTTCCATGAATTTCTGGGATTTCCTGACTTACAGACGGATCTCATCTATATACTCGACTTTTTGGCCAGAGAAATAGTAATGGAGGTAATAATAAGTTCCAGCGAGTCAATATTCATCGCTAAATCCCACAAGCTCACATTTGGGAAATTCCACATGTTCAGGTCACCTATCGTGCTGCTCAAGCACGTCAGGTTGAGCAGGAAAAACTTCTCACAACTCCCAGTTCCATGAAGCAACCATCTTCGAAGAAAAAACTAGCCATTGAAAGCCTTGAGCTTTGCTATTATGAGGAAAGGGCTGGCGTACTTTGCAGTGGATGGTCGAAAAAAATCGTAGTACTTCCAAGGCCAGTTTCATAATCCCACATTTTTCATGACGACATTTCCCAGAAGACATTCTTTCGGCGAGAGCAGAACAAAGTAGTAAACGTTAACTTATGGTAAGAATCCATGGAAATGGGAAAGTGATCACGATTATAACAAAAGGGAAATGGCTGAGCGACGTGAACTTGAAGAACAGGGACCTTGGCCGAGGTAGGGAAGGACATTGTTTTTCAGTACTTATTTATTTCTTGGCAGCGTCAAAACGCGCGTAACACGAGTGGGCAAACCCGGCGTGGCAGGCCTCCAATTGGATACCATAGGCGCACAGATCTGGATAACTAAACGACGACGATATGCTGGAACACTAGAAACTGAGAAAGAAGCACAGCGTCAGCCCGTTGAGCCAAATGCTCATTCGCAAGATTGGCAAGTCGCTAAGTAACAGTTATTTCGTTTGAGTCCATGTGGGGCGTGTCAGTGGTGGGCAAGGGTTTCGCGTTGCGCTCCAGTCGCGTTTTCCAGCAGAAGAGGGAGCAAAAGGATACATGCCCAACCCAGGCGATGCCGACAACGCACCGCGACTAACATAGGTGAGAACGATTGTGTTGCACGTTAAGGAAGTTTTCTCAAGATGGAGAAAAGGGGAAGTTAAGAGAAGGGAGTTTGGTAGGATTGCTGTCGTCAATCCCTACGCCTTAACACAATTAAGGCTACACCTTGCAAAAGTTATTGCCACAGGCCTGTATTATTCAGCCACGCTCAAATGAGCATTGCTGGTTTTGTATTCAGTAACTGTGGAAGTAACCATACGTTTTTCAGCCGCTTCGCCTATGTCTCGTCGGCTGAACTCTTTGAAGAACACAAAAAGGTACTACGAGGCGAGTATTGGGACAGCTGCCCGGAGGATCTTACGAAGGAGGCATTCGCCGTTGCCAATGCTTATGCAGCCGCACGTCAATCCCATATAAACCTACCAGAGCCACAAGTTCCTACCAAATGGCAACAGCAGAACATCGAAAGCAATGAGAAGGAACACGAACGTTTGAAGAAACTCCTGGAATCGAATAGTCAGAGTGAACTGGAAAAACGCCTGACGAATCAGTTAGTCAAGATGATGGCAGAGAATAACATTGACGATACAGCATCGGTTGCCGAAACTGATGGTCATACTAACTTGGAAAAAATGACAAAACTTATTGGAGCGGTGGTACGAAAACATCAAAGTATCACTAATGCTTGAATGGCTCGAGTGCAGTGCTCTGCTCTCACAGCGAGTTTTTGTTATATCAGCGAGATTTTGTTATATTGATTACTACTTTCATTCTAATTTATGCTGCTATAATTAACATGGGTAACCCGGGTAATCTAAATATGTAAATAGTTTTAGTTTAGGATATCACTTGCCACATTGTCATAAATGCTGGGGGTCATATTTGATGTGTCATATGCCATACTGTCATAATAATTTGTCATACTTAATGTGTCATATTTAGTGCTTTATATGAGAATTCGTAATACTGGTTTTAATCTATTGAGTTTAATAAACATGCCATTCCCCATTCCTCTGTAAATCAAACAAATTTTGACGCTGTTCGGTGGTTTTTTTTTGGGGGGAAGCGCTCCGGGTTGTAATCATATCAAACTCATTGTTTTCAAGGATCTCTATCTGAAACCAGTAACTCTCATTCCTACGACTGACCTGTAATAGACATCCTTTTTCGGGAACGAAAAGTCCCAGGCGCTGAGCTGTTGACCTGATAGAACCACATCAGCCGCAGTCAGCACTTTCTGATATATGCAGCGATTGTCACGACGTACTGACAGGATAAACTGGTTAGCCTAAAAAGTCATTTTGTAGTCATTTGCATACATTCAGACCTTCCCATTGGGAGCAAGCTTGGCACACAGAAGACGAAACAAGTCTGAAAATTAACTTGCATTGTTACCTGGTATGTGGTTACCAGTTTGATCCCGTGCGACGTAAAATGAGCACCAAAAAGAAAGCCAGCTTGAAGGTCATAAGTCTACAGGCTTTTAGCGAATCAAGCTAGAGGAATCTTGGCTAAGGGAAGGCCTCGGTTCCTTCAACTAGGAAAATCCACTGGGCTACTCTGGCTCGTTAAGGGCCAAATGGAACCTTTACTGAGGCCCAATCGACTCAGTGATCAGTAGGACGAAGAGGATGCAAACTATCTCTTGTCTTGAAGTACTCATTCAAATGACCAAGCTGTGAAAACAATAAATCGCTCAGTGGACGTAACTAGTCGCTGGAGAAGAGGGGTTCATCTTTTTCCTAGGGTATTTTTTTGTTGTTGACTTGTCCGAGTTTCTGAACAGTTGATCTTAATCGTAAGTGTACGCCCCCCCCCTGATCTACAGCAAAATTTTGGAAGAGTTTGGAAAAATGTTTGGTCGGGTTGTTGGAGGAGGCCACCAGAAACGCAAACAATAAAGTGACTGATGGATCGAGCATAGAAGCGAATTTCAGTAAACGACTGCACAGAGTGAAATCCGAAGAAAGCTTCGCTTTACGTCGAGAAGGTTAAAAACTTGGTCCTCCAGTGAAAGTGAAACTTGGTGGCTACTGAGAGCACAACCGTCCAAAAGTAGTGCCTGCAAGCCAGCGATATTAGGAAAAAGCATTTCCTGAAACAGTTATCATTGGTTTTTCTGAAATGAACGGCGTGAAAGGGGGGGGAAGCGCTAAGGTAGGATATTGTGCTCAGTTTTTATGCTTACACAAACGCAGGCGGGTAAGGCTAAGCGTAGGTATTGTGCTCCAGTTTTTATGGCCTCCACAAGGATTCTCAGAACGGCCGCTTGAGGCTAAGCTAGTGGCAGCATGAAAAATATAAGCACACTTTGGCTTCCAAAACCCCGTTTAAATTCCGCATAATCTGATTTGGGGAAAAGTTCAGGGAGCTGGCCACTCTAATTGAGACTTCGGAACCTGAACATATTGCCACAATAAAATAGGGACAGTAGGGACAAGGTAGCATAGCGCTTTGATTGTGCGCGAAATTTCTCTGCATGGTGTTTCCCAACTCATTTTCATTAATTGATCGACCCGATCTATTTTGGTAAAAAATTCACCCTTATCACTTCTTCGTCGCCTACTACACAACAACGCGATATCCTTATCTTTCAGGTCGAAGTCGAACAAACAAAAAAAGTCGCTTAACAGAAATCAAACTGAGACTTTGCGACCCCCTTATTTAATGCCCATACCAAATAATGAGGGCTTTTCCGAACTTATTATTTTTAATCAAACGAAGCAAATGATTCAGTAACTGCAAACAGCTAGTAACTTCTGTAATTAGTAGCCTGGTGAAGATTATGAATAATTCACTGATCAAAAATAAGAATTCCAACACGAATAACTTCACTCACTGGAATGACGTCCACCTTATGTTCTACAAGACCAGGTCGCAGACTAAATTTG